GCTGTTCCTGCTGCTGCTGCTGCTGCAGGAGCTGCAGCAGAAGCAGCAGCAGGAACAGCAGCAGCAGCAGAACTGTTTTGCTTGCTTTGCTGCTGCTGCTGCTGCTGCAGCATTAGCAGCAACGCCGAACACCCCAACTTCACTAGCAGCAACTGCTGCTGCAATAATTGCGTTTGCTGCTGCTGCAGCAACAGGAGCAGCAACAGCAGCAACAGCAGCAACAGCAGCAACAGCAGCAGCAGCAGCACTGACTACCCGCAAGTGTTGCTTGCTGCAGCATTTTTAACGTATACCTTAAAGTGGGTTGCTGCTGCAGCTGCTGCTCCAGCAGCAGCAGCAGCAGCAGCAGCAGCAGCAGCAGCAGCAGCAGCAGCAGCAGGTAACCCCTTTTATATATTTGTTTTTATTGTATAATTAAATATAAATAGTTATTAATAAATTGGGGTGTATAGGCAGGTAAAAAGGAGAAAAAAAAATAAACAAAAGGTGCCTATACACCCCAATTATATAAAAAAGTTTTCTTGTTTTTGTTTATTCTTAATTATTTATTTATTTATTTATTTATTTAGTTAGTTAGTTAGTTAGTTAGTTAGTTAGTTATTAGTATTATTTAATTAATTAATTATAATTAATTAATTAATTGTTATATTTATATTGTCCCTGTAAACCCTAAACCCTAATATATTCTCCCTGCAAACCCTAAACCCTAAACCCTAATAAATAATCCCTATAAACCCTAAACCCTAATTAATAATCCCTATAAACCCTAAACCCTAAACCCTAATTTTATTCTCCTTCTGCATCTGATGGTCCTAAACTTCTTAATCTTATTTTTCCTCCTTCTTCTTGTACCTCTAGCATTAATAATGCCTAATAAATAAATAAAAAAAAAAATTATTTATTTATTTATTTATTTATTTATTTATTTATTATATTTATTTATATTACTAGTCGTGGTATTTATATCTTAGCATTCTTTAAGAATCCTTTTTATTTTTAGGGTTTAGGGTTTAGGGTTTACAAGGGTTTATTAAGGTTTACAAGGGTTTAGGGTTTAGAAGGGTTTAGGGTTTATTAGGGTTTAGGGTTTAGGGTTTAGTCTCTCTAGTATATATTTCCCTTCTTTATATTTTTGTGATTCTTTACGATAATATCAAGGGTTTAGACATTATTATTTTTTTTTAGGGTTAAGGGTTTCGTGTTAATTAGGGTTTAGGGTTTAGGGTTTAGGGTTTAGGGTTTAGGGTTTAGGGTTTAGGGTTTAGGGTTTACCCTTTCTAGTATACATTTTCCTTCTTTATATTTTTGTGATTCTTGTACAGCATGACGATATCTCCATCCAACATTTGTACCACAATCATTACAATAAATATCTACAATTGTATGCATACCTATAAATAAATTATAAACCCTAAACCCTAAACCCTAAACCCTAAACCCTAAACCCTAAACCCTAAAAAAAAATGGGTTTCTAATTGTTTTTATTTATATATTTATTATTTATTTTTCTTATTTACTAAGTTTATAGACGGGATATATATTTATTTATAATATTTACAGTATATATATAATTATTCATCTTAGGGTTTAGGGTTTAGGGTTTAGGGTTTAGGGTTTAGTGTATATTGTGTCTTTGTTAATAACTCCTTTATTATTCCCTTTCCCTCTTCTTTTACCCATCAATAAAATAAACAATAAAAAAAGAAATAATAAATAAATAAATAAATAAATAAATAAATAAATAAATAAATAAATAAATAAATAAATAAAACTAACCAGTGGTCATGACGCGATCCTCGCATTGTCCTTCGGATACATTTGCAGCTCTGCACACAAACCCTAAACCCTAAACCCTAAACCCTAAACCCTAATAAACCCTAAACCCTAATTTAGGGTTTAGGGTTTATTTATTTACCTATTAAATAGCCATGCAGGTCCTGTTCTTCCTCTGAATTGCCTAGACACTAGCTGGCTAGCGGTAGCAAGATGGGCATGGCATTGGCGGCATCTGTAGGTATAAAAAAGGATAAAAAAACGAAAATAAATTAAATTAATTAATTTAATTTATTTATTTTTAAAATAAATAACTTTTTTTTATTTATTTACCCCCTTTCTTAACAAAAAAAAAAAAAGCTGCCTATACACCTCAAATAGCTTACATATATACCTTTGGACCACTTAGCCACTCCTTGTATAACCTCCCCATCATTAATTATTTATTTTTTTTGTTTTTTTTTATATAAATATAAATAATTAATTAAAAAATAAATAAATAAAAAGAAAAAAAGAAAAAAAAAAGAAAAAAAAAGAAGAAAAAGTAAATATTCAATTATTTTTTTTTTCTTATAAAGTTGTTACCAACAGCCCCAACCACCCCCCTCCTCTTTTTTCTTCTTTTTTTCTTCTTTTTTTCTTTTATTTATTTATTTATTTATTTATTTATTTATTTATTTATTTTTATTCTTTTTATTCTTTTATTTTATTTATTTTATTCTTTTCCTCTATTTAACGAGAAAAACGATGTCTTTTTATATAGACACTATACCTAGGATTCCCTGCTGCTGCTGCTGTTGCTGCTGCTGTTGCTGCTGTTGCTGCTGCTGCTGCTGCTGCTGCTACATTTAAATAAATAAAATGCTTTTGTTACTAAGACAACAATGTAGGAGAATAAAATAATAATAAATAAATAAATAAATAAATAAATAAATAAAATAAATAATAGAGGAGAATATTATTGTTAATAGAGAAGAAAGAAGAAAAAAGAAGAAAAAAAAGGGCAAAAAGAAGAGACGCCCTTTTGGGGCTTTATTGCATGCATGCATGCAATAAATAAAGCCCCAAAAACATGCATGCATGCATGCATGCATGCGTGCATGTATTAAATATATACTATATATATTATTTATATTGTATATATATATATATATATATATATATATATATAAGGAAGACCTTTT